GGTGCAGCCCCGGGCGCGGCGGAGGGGAGAGCGGCGATGCGTCGGGCGAGGGCTTCCCGGCTCCCAGGTCGGAGGGAAGGAGAGAAAAAGGAGCTGGCAGGCCGTTGGCGAGACCCGGCCGAATGTTGACCTCAGGCACCCAGTTCTAATGGCCGAGCTGAGAACGAGTCTAAGCGCTCTTCCCGTGCCAGAGAAGAAGACGGGAGAAAGCAGAAATGACAAATAAGAAAGGCTGGACCCAGGTATTTTAAACATCCAGCTCCAGTAAGTGGAACCAGGGTGGAAGTCTTACCATCTAGAAAACCAAACAAGACTGGAGTCCTACACCAGTTCCTGGCCTGGAGCACCTCCTCAGGCTCCACCTTTCTTGGTGAAATGGCCATGTGTGTTGTGGTTGTCTGGAGGACACGGTTTGAGGGCTAGGACAGAAACAGTCACCTTCCAGTTGGAACTGTGTGCTGATGATTAGGCACTGCTCAACCTCAGGACATGCTCAGGTGTGGAATTGCTGCTGTCGTTGGTTGAACGTGGTTGGCCTTTCCATTTGATGATCTTGATGATCTTAAGTGCAAAAAGTGGAGGATCTGACGGTCTTCGTGTAGACAGTTTTTATTTTGTCATGGTCTTTCAAAGTCTTTAACAAAGGTCATAGTTAAGGGATGACAGTGCTCTCTGTTAGAACTTCATGTTGCTGAGTGGGACACAGACCTCCTTTCAAGTGAACAGCGCTGAATGCTCTCCTGTGTGGTGTTAAATTATCAGAAGTACATGATGATTTGAATAGTTGGCCTTTTCCCCAATGTTTTACGATACCTGTCATATTGCTCTGCAACTCTAAAGACACTGTATGTCCCTGGTGTTGCTGCCGTGACTCTGGTGTAGCCAGTGGGAGTTCTGTGAAGGACAACTGTGACCCAAAAAAGTTAGTGATACAATTTTGTACTAGTAATTTCTGGGAGGCGTAGAGGATCTTTGCCTGGTCTTGTCTAAGTTTTACTTAGATGTTTTGATTAATTATAGAAAGAAATAAAACTTACACCTCTTAGGCCATACTGGTTTAGCTCCTGCTCATCATTAACAAATTCTGCTTTTCCATGAGCTTGGTGTGGTTACAAGACAGCCCTCTCTGGCTGTTGGCTGTGGGCTTGCACTGGGTGCTACCGCGTGGGATATGAGTGATGTTGCTCAAGCCGTGACCTGGCTTGAAGGTGTTCTGTGAGAGAGCTGTACTTAGATCCCAGTTTGCAGTCAATTTCAGGCCCAGTCGCTTTGCAGGCGTTTGCGTTGATGAATGTGAATTGTTAGTGCTGTGGTTCAAAGTCTCTGAATCACTTCCTTTCTTTGTTACTCCATTTGAACCACTTTTGCTTATCAGTGTATAATACGAAGGAATTGTATCCACCAGAACAGGTAAGTGGAAGTATGACTATTCATTTTGTGTTGCGTGAGGTGCCTGGAATATGAGCTTCTCAGCTGGTTATGGTGTTAAATCTTCATCTCCGTGCCAGATACGTGGGAAAAAGCATTTGGAGGCCTTAGATTATCCATCCATCTACATTTTGCATCTCCACTGTGAAGTCCTCCGTGACGAAGGTCAGAAGAAACATCTAGAAAGCTGAAGGGTTTTTATGTCTAATAGGTAGCAAGTGTGCAGATGTAGCTTCATGTAAAAAATGAGTCAGCTTTGCCTCCCTGCTCCTTCCCATCCCAGAAAACCAACCACATCAAAGGAAGTCAAAAGAAATAAGCTCTTACAGCTGTTATGTCCCACACCAGTTGGCACGTGAGATGAAGTGGTTTCTGCCTTCAGAGATGACACCTCTGTTCTTGCTTGGATACATCATTCTTTTCTGTCCTGAAGAAGAAGTAAAACGTTTTGCGGATGGCAGGATGATCATTAAACAGTTTCAGGATTTTAGCTTGAAATACTTTGGGGCCATGAAGTGTAAATAATTTGGGACTTGTGCTGACAGCCCAAAGGTATACAACAGTCCTGATTCTTCTTTGCCTCCATTAGTAGCACCTGAGGCCTTCAAGGGTTCTTACTGAACTTCAGCAAATTATTTTCATCGGCAAAATTATTTTTGTTAGAGCCAATCATGGTCTTAGAGCCATGATAAAGCGCATTGAAAAGTACAGTCTACTACCTTTAATAACTTCTCATATTTTGGTGGCACTCAAGAAACTTAAGAACAAAATTTAAGTTTTAGAAATAGGTGTGCATATTTATCCTATCAGTTGATTGTTTTTCTACTGTCATGTTACTTTAAAAGACTTTTCAACCTTTTCAAATTAAAAATAAATTCAATTATAATCTTTATATTAAAGCAAAATAAGATCACAGACAAAATAACCTCAGTGTTTGGTTAACTAGGTGTCTTTTTCTACTTAGAAATGGCCTGAAATACCTCCTATTATATTTCTTTTAGGACTGTGAAACCCATTTATTGTAGAAGCAAAAGAACACTCATTAAAGATCTATGGTGCATATTCCTTAGAAATAACAAACTGAAAATAAAAGACTGACAAAAGGGTATTCACAGTGGCCTTCAGTGAGGCAGCCCTATCTTGCTTTATGATTCAAGTGCACTGTTGGATGCATTGATAGGAAATCCTCATTAGTCTGGGTAACAAACAGAAAGGGTAATGTATTTATGCTTAAATACCAAGTTTGTTGATTCACATTAAAGTTGTTGTCAGTAATTTGAGGGAATATTTTTTGTTTTCCATGTAGAATTTAGTTCTCACATTTTCTGATCACAAATATTTCCCTCACAAAGGCTCTGGTATTCAAAATATATGAGATGGCTTTAGTGGGGAAAATACCTCAATATGAAAAGTGCACCTAACTTTATTTTTCCAAGCACAGAGGATCCCTTTTACTGCAATAAATTCCACTTTATTGGTGAATATATGAATTGGTTATCAGGATTGTGGAGATGGTCACGAAGCTGACTTTGATGCTTATCCTTTTTATTTTATTTAATATTTGGGGGGTTTATATACAATAAACAAAATTAGACATTCAGGGGTGATGATGTTGGCATCTTAAGTCTTATTTTAACATTGTGTCAGATTATATTACAACACCTTAGATAAGTGATCTGAAGGTTATAGCTAAATCTCTGAAGGAGACTGTCACATGCACGTATTCCTGGATCACAATAATAAAATTAGTCTTTAAAACTCAGCCTATTTTGCATTGAAGTGTTGCTCTGGGTGGAAGAGTGACATTTAAAAAAATGGCATCTTCTCAGTCAAATGACACAGTGCCCATGGATAGCAGGCTTGTCCACCATAGTGACAGCTTTCAATTAAATTTATGCCACTGTGTAAGAATAAGCTGCAGTTTATTTTTGCTGATGTGATTCAAGAGCAAGACAATGTATTTCCGGATGAGTTACAACATCTCCCTTTTATACCTGCACTCAGGTACCAGCAAAGTCAAAACTTGAAAGTAATAATGGCACTGTTTGGCCTACTGAATCCTTATTACATGTGGAGACATGCAAATGGGAGAGAACACAGCTGAACTTTTGGATGCTGGGTTTGGTTTGCAGATGCAGAGTTTAGAAAATAATCTTTGTTTTACAAAGTGGGGAAATGCACATTTTTGAGCATTCTGGCTTTCCACCTGGCATCTCTTTCAATGGAGTCACTTCTTAGGAGAGATGCTTCCTTTAAGCAGCTTCTTGAACTGGAAAGCAGAAATCTGTAGAGTATTTCACACAGGATCTTCTAAGAGGTAACTTGTAAGAAGATGGTATATTTAAATAAATTATTTACGTTGAGAAATAATCATATCTATTGATACAACAGTTCCGTGTTAAGGAACAAGACTGATTTCACAAGCAGACAACACTGACTTGAAGTAGAGTCTTGGGAGCTTAGAAAAGAGCCAGGCACCTGCTCCTTCTGCAGTTCTTCTTGCAAATATGGCAAGCTGTGGGTGCAGTGCTGATTTCAGTGATACACGGCTTGTTCCCACCAGCTAAGCATCTTTTATATTTATTTATTTTTGTGGAAATGCTTTACTAACAACTATTTTGAAGAATCAGCTATTTGTGTCTACATTGTCATTGATCTATTATCAAAATCAGTTTTTTAGCAGACAACTGTCCTCAGAATAATGTCACCTGTGAGCAATATTACCCTCAGTCAGTAGAAATCTAGAAGTCTTGCTGCCTGATGACATTTTTCAGGACTCTATTCCAAATTAGGTGTGATTTGCAGTGCAGACAGTATTCTTTAATCCCAAACTGGGCAGTCATCTGGACAATAGATTAACTGAGGTATAAAGCCAATAGCAAAGAGTTAACCTGAGGTCCCTTCTGCTCGGGTCTTGTAGTTCTCTAAATTAAAGATACTGAGTTTCAGAAGTGTAGTAACTGGGTAACTCCAGCAACACACATTATCTTACTAAGAAATCCCAGTGCCCAGCCGCATGTGGAACATTACAATGAATGTAATGACTGTCCTGTTTACCTACAACATCACTCTGTTACCAGAATTCCAACTTCCTTGTTACATTGTAAACTGCTTGGCATATTTTGGGATACTGATTTCTTATGCATGTTACCATCTCATTACAATCTTGATGAAGGGTTTTACCTGGATCAAGTGTAGTTAACATCAAGATGCATGTTATAAACATACTCCTGCTTGGAAGGGCTACTGAAAACATACTCTGTATCACTCTAAAGCTTCAACACCTTCAGTGAAGACTTTCCCACTACCAAAGACACTCAAACTGGACAAGCTTCCCTTTGTCATCCAGGTTCAGTGTTCCTACCTATCCAAAGATTAAAATTAGATAGATTTTTTTACAACACTTTCTGAATGACAAATGCAGCACTGTGCTTTGGGTTGATCTTTGATTCAAAATTAAAATCCAGCAATAAACTGTTTAGTAATTGTTTCTGAAAGTTAAAATATTTAGAGAAAGATGCTTCAAATAATGGCAAAATATAAATGTGGTCTAATACTGAAAGAAATTGGCTAATTATTTTTTTCTAAATCAATGGAGTAATTGTGATGGCCAGCTATGTTGTAAACAGCATTTCTTTGTCCATTCATTTGACTTTTAGCAGTATTACAGTTTCTTGGCTCTGTAAATTTTCATCAGTGCAATCCCTTTTTGTTGTTCCTCCTTAGCCATGTATTTTTCAGGAAATTTCTACAGCATATTTAGTAACACTGGCTAAAAGTTAAAATTAAATAGTTAAGTGTTCCTTGTGTTTAAATTATTAGAACAATATAATCTATAAGAAAAATAAGTGAAATATCTGCAATGTAGGGTAACTAGTAGTGGGGTATGTGAATGCTGGTTTGCTTTACATTCATGCAAATAAGAATATCCTGGTTTTCACAAAAGGGAAATCATCCTTTTGCCCTGTTGAATAACCATGTCACACTCTTTATTATCAAAACTTTAGACTGGTAATATTGCAAAGCTGAAGGAAAATACACTTCAATCTGTTTTCTTCTATTATGCAGAGAAAATGTAGATTCCAGTACTATTTCAATGCTATCTCATTATCAGTAATTTTATCAAATATTGTTACAAATCTAGTAGGTGTCTAAAAACTTTCACAGTAAGTTGATATGTATGACCTGCATAGGAAAAAATTATTTTTCACGTGGTTTACCGAAGTAGGGGAAATAGGTAGTGGCATGATCAGTAGACTACAACAAAACACTAAAGCAAGAACAGCATTGGAAACATCTGTCAGAAAGACACTTTTCTTTGAAAACAGCAGTTGCCCCACTTGGACTTTGCTATATTTCTCACAGACCACCCACAAAACTCACTGCCCATTCCTTCAAAGGGGCAAACGAGGAACAATGAGGATATTTTCTTCTATAAGGTACTTTGCTGCATTTATTTAGATTTTGTGGGGTTTATTTGAAATCATCTTATAATAATGTAATCACTTACATGTGCTCAGCATCCAATGGATTAAGAAGGATACAAGGGACACACCACTAAGTCTGAGCTCCATTGCACGCAAATTAGTAGCTCCTATAAAAAGAAATAGAATCAGCAGGTATGTGTGAACATGTCTTGGTTTGGAGAAGAGCTAACATGAAGTTTTAGAGGAAAGTCACATCTCACAGAACTGTTAGTCAATATGTGGATAAAATGGCTCTGGCTGGTATAAATGGATTTTCAAAAAATATTCCAGTAAGATCCTATGGAGTGGCTGCTAATGAAACAAAGCTGTGATCCAGAAAGGCTGGTCAACTCTTGGACTACCTGGTTCAGAGAGGAAGAAATGAAGGGTAGTTGTGGTGGAGTGTCCAAACATCAGTATTGGGACCTTTGTTGTGCAAAAGAATCATTTGAAAATAATTGCATTTACTGCTGATAACTTAGAGATTATTATTAGCATTGTCAAGGAAAGTTTGAC